AACACAGTCAATTTCGGTTTATACTGAGCCTTTTTTTCAATTAGCTTTTCAACTTTAGCCTTTAACATTGGTTGGCGGGAAGCTACATCCTTTAGGTGCTGAATATCTGTGTAGTGGAGGTTGTTGAAGCCGACAACTTTGTCCTTTAAAAAAGAGAAACGATTGTAATAAATGGAAAACAGACTACTTTTTTCTCTTACCGTAAACTTGTCATGTAAACTTTTTAGCTTGCACATGTAGGTAAAAAGTGTGTGAATTGGGTTAAAGTTGGACTCCACTTTAAAATCAATCTTTATTAGGATTGACATTGGAAGGGCTTGCATTGGTGGTAAGAACTCCATATAGTTTGCCATGAGCATAGATATGGCACGGAAGATGTCTTGTTTTGTAGAAGCGTAGTTCTCCGGCAATGTAAAAACACCAGATTGGTCAAATATCTTCAACATCTGATCGAGAAGCTGGTTCACTTTAGGTTGCTGAAAAACGGTGGCGGAAATGTCGATGTTGATTTCAGGAAAAGTGACCGCAATCTGCTGAGCTAAATCCCGTCTTTTTTTCTCGAGTGGATTTCTCTGCTGGTAAAACGACTGATGGTTAATTGTCCGATACATTTTGGGTTTTANAAAGTGACCGCAATCTGCTGAGCTAAATCCCGTCTTTTTTTCTCGAGTGGATTTCTCTGCTGGTAAAACGACTGATGGTTAATTGTCCGATACATTTTGGGTTTTAGTAGTAGCAAGATTGCGCTTTGCAATTAAAAAAATAACTTTAAAGAATAACACTCGCCTTGTTCAGCACCAGAGGCCTTATGCACCAAAGCAGCGATCTTGATTACAGTGTTCTAGTGACACTCACGATACACAGTGCACTGTCATCGGGTTTGAACTTTTCAGACCGATGAGGTTTCTAAACATTGATAAAGATAAAAGTTAGAAAAAGACGATTATGTTTTGACTTGACTAATTAATTAATTTTTTGATTTCATACAAACAAGCATTTGCCGGCAATTTTTTCAAAAATGGCATTTGTGGGCACTTCGGGCCTTTCAGAGATCACAACAGGGCAGCTCTGCCCTGCCTCTCTGTAAAACAAACCATGACTTTTAGTTTTGTTTTTGTCTGCTAAAGCGTTTTGACATTTCTTAATTTGTCTTTCAATTAATGTAAATCTAGATGACAATTGGCTAAACCATGGAGGCTAATCAAGGAAATGTGATCAGTTTTAAAATGTACTTTTTACAAAACGATTGGAATGATGTGCTCGCATCAAAGTAAGTCTTTATCATTTGTTTTGCTGTAGTTTTAATAACTTGTTTTTGTCTGTTTAGCCATGGAAGTAATGAAAGCATTTGGTTGTTCGTTAAAGAGTTGACTAATTCCAAAGCTAAAGAGTACAAATTGAAAACTGTCAAAAACAATTCGCTAGTTTTAGAAGTTCCCACAGATGAATTTACAATCGTAAGCTGTTCGAACCGTTGTTTTGTAGTGGAAGATCAAAAGTCCAAAATTCAGCATCGCTTCTTGCCTCCTTTAACGTGTTATTCTTCAATCCACAATAAATCGGTATGGTATTTAGGTGCATAATAAGATTGTTTGTTGTTTAATTATATTCTGTTTTAATTTAGATAAATTCTCTTGATGTCGCTCCAAGCGGTATTGCCGTGTCGTCTAGTGATGGCGCGGCCAAAGTTTGGGACACTGTCAACGGCCAAAATAAAGTGAGTATTGAGTTTTCATTTATCAATGTTATCTAAACTCTTTTTGCTTTAAGCACAACCTTGAAGGCCACTTTCTTGATGTCAACAAGTGCAAATTTTTTCCATCTAATGAAGTGATCCTCACTGCGGGTGCTGATATGCAGATGAAGATTTGGTCAGCGATTGATGGAAAATGTCCTGTTACTTTACTTGGCCACAAAGGTGCCATCAATGATGTTGCAATTGTCGACCGTGGACGGAACATCATTTCAGTGGGAGGTGATGGTTTGGTTAAATTATGGAGTTGTGCAAAGGCCCAATGCATCGAGAATATATTTGACATTACCACTCAAGATGATCACGGACCCAATCGATCAATTAATGTTTGCAAGATTAGATCGATCAACAGTACCAGCCTCGATATTGGTGTTCGAGAAGAGCCCATTTCTGAAGGTGCAGTGGGCACAGAGGATAAACTGTTACTTTGTGGAACTGAATCCGGATTTGTCTACTGTATTTCTGTTCACACTAAAAAAGTGGTAATTACTTTGNTTCGAGAAGAGCCCATTTCTGAAGGTACAGTGGGCACAGAGGATAAACTGCTACTTTGTGGAACTGAATCCGGATTTGTCTACTGTATTTCTGTTCACACTAAAAAAGTGGTAATTACTTTAAAATGTTATTTTTAGAGCGTTTCTAATTTACTTTATATTTATCTAGATTTTTAAAGTGAAATGTGACTCTGCTGTAAATTCTGTACAGTTTCACAAAAACCACCACTTTGTTTATGGAACTCAAAGTGGTGACTTGTTTGAGCGAGATCTACGCAAGCCAGAGCAACCCATTTCACGGTGGTGTTTTTCCAAATCACCCGTTCTCAGCATAATGTCTCTTTGCAGACCATTCAGCGGCGTGTTGGTTGGCCGACAGGACGGAACTGTGACCTTTGTGTACGACGACCAGAAGCAAGTTATCCACCTGACCGGATCTGACTGTGATCCAGTTTACGATCTTGCCTACGACTCCAAGTTCATCTACTCAGCCTGTCGTGACGGAAAGGTGCGAAAATACCTGCTCAATAACGCATTTGAGTAGAGTAGTGTGATTTCTACTTCTATACGCTTTAAGTTACATGGGGACGATTTGCCACAACTTTTTACTGTTTAACAGTTGCTTTTTACCGATATTTCGACCATTAAAAATGAGATTATTTTTGTTGTTGAACAAACACACTGCCCCAGTGAAGAGAATGGGAAACAGTTATTGTTTGAATTCAACCGAAGCTGTTGTCAGGCAGCGACCACTCTCGCTGCTGCCGACTCACGCACTCATTATCGGCCAAGGCTACCACTACGTTGTTTGCAGGCGCCACAAAACCTGAACGAAGTGAACTGCTCACCAAGTGTTCACCCTGTGTGAGCGGCCAATGCCACACTGTAAACATGCACAAACTGTTGCCGTTCAATGACGCTTGTGTGTAATTTGTAATCGTCTGATTAGTAGCCTGTGATGCCTGATGCTGAGCCATCTTCATCATCATCATCTTCCCCCTAGCACTACTGTGTACACTCTACTGTTTGCCGAACGACACTCGCATGGACTTTACTTTGCCATGATTTGGCCATTACCCACGACCACTACCTCAGAGTGCACCAGAACACTTTCAGTCACCGGTCAGTGCGAACCGTGCCACCGCCACCGCCATCCTCCTCTTTCTCAGCATGGCCAGCAACTCCGATGTGGACCTGGTGCTACGCCATCTGGGCAACTTTGGCTTGTACCAGTTCAAGGTGTACGTCCTCTCCTGTCTGCCCATCTTCATCGCCGGCGCCATCACCACTGCTTTAGTCTTCACCACTGTCGTCCCTAGTCACCGGTGCTTCGTCGAGGGCTGCGACCTGGGCTCACTGAACGACAGGGACGTGGTTGGCCTTCAGTCGTACAATGATTCATTTCTCAAGTTTACCATTCCAAAAGTGGGCAACACTGAACAGCTGGACAGCTGCCGACTCAACGGGCGACAGGATGTCACATCATTTGATTTGTGTCTGGCGCAACTGTTTGACAATAGGACGCAGAACACCTGTGATGAGTATGTTTTTGAGCAGAGTGTTTTCGAGAACACTGTCGTCACCGAGGTAAGTTTAAGGGTGATAAAAATGAAAACGGAATATGTTTTACCAGCAAAATGTCTCGTCAGTTTAATCTGGTCTGCTCATCCTCATGGATTGTTCAACTTTTGCAGTCTTTATTTTTTGTTGGCATCGTAAGTGCTCAGGTGATACTACTCCAAGTTAGTGGTTAAAACTTTATTTTTCTCTCAAGTTAGTCGGTGCAATAATGAGTGGCATAATTGCTGACAGGCAAGTGCAAGTTGCAGTACTTTTTGTTGATTAAATTAAAATCATTTTCAAATATTAGACATGGAAGAAAGACGGTGTTCGTTTTCCTCTGTCCCACTCTGCTATTCACGCTCTTTGCCAGTTCATTTGCGCCCAGCACCCTTGTGTACGGCCTGACGTTGATAGTGAAAGGCATCTGCGTGGCGGGCATTTACCAGTCGGCATTCGTCATTGGCATCGAATTCACCGGCGGCAGATTCCGATTCTGGTAAGAACATTAAATGGCGCAGTCAAGTGAACAAATGTTGTTAAAATGTTGCCGTTAAATTAGGTGCGGCAATATCTCGAGCATCATGTTTGCAATTGGAGCTGTCTACGCCTGCATAGCGGCGGATTACTTTCGTGAATGGAGATTCATCGAAATATCGCTCACCTTTCCTGTCATGATCATGCTCTCCTATCCATGGTTTGTTGCTGTGCACCCTTTTCAGTTACCACTGAGGTTACTTAACACTTTCTCAAATGATCAGCATTTTTCCTGAGTCTATTCGCTGGCAGCTGTCAAATGGAAAGTTTGAGTCGGCAATTGAACAAATTCTCGCTGCCGCTAGAACGAACTCAATAGTCATACCTGAAGAGCTTCTTGCATCAATTTCCAGAAAGCAGAAGGTTTGTTTTTGAATTATGTAAACTATGACATTGCTTTTACACTTGCCACTTGTTTAGCAGATCAAAGCAGTGCACACAAAGGCACTAAGCATCATCGACCTCTTCACCCGCCACCATCTAGTGCGCACCTGGACGCTGGCGCTGCTCTTCATTTGGTTCGCAAACTCGCTTACATACTACGGCCTGTGGTTTCTCTCATCGCAGATAGACAAGAACATCTTCTACTCGATGACACTGCTCTCTCTAGTGGAAATTCCGGGCATCGTTTTGACAGCGGCATTTGTGGAGAAATTTAATCGAAAGAGCATACTAGTGGCTGTCATGTTGATTGGCGGCGTCGCCTGCACCATTGCCGCACTCCTTTCGCCTGATTACGCGCAGCTCAAAATGTGGCTGGCAGTTCTGGGAAAGTGCACCATCTCTGGATCGTTTGCTCTCATCTACGTCTACACGGTTGAGATATTTCCCACCGTCTTGCGCATTTCAGGCCTGGGTCTTTGTTCTATGTTCGCTCGCATTGGCGGAATGACGGCGCCTTATCTCCTTCAATTGGTTAGTGCTCTGCACAAATTAGTTTTAACTCGCTGACAACGTTTCTTTCCTTTCAGACCATATTTGGCCCATCTTTTCCCTTTCTCACTATTGGCTGTGTGGCCATCGGAGCCGGTCTTATCAGCACAGTACTGCCAGAGACCAAGGGAAAGAAGCTGCCAGATACGCTGGAAGAGGTGGCAATGCTGAAGAATGGACAGTCTCCCCACAGGCAGTACGATAATCGAACTAGCTCAAGTAAATCAACGAACAACGAGGAGGAGGCCAATCTACTTGGAGACGAAACGTGACTTCCGTTTTCAGTGCACCGCGTACTTTAGACTGTTTACATTTGATTTATATTTATTATTGACCGTTCACTTCAACTGTTTTATCAACTCTGCTGATAAACTCAAACCGTGAACTTGACTGACTGAAATCAATTAATCTCAAATAATTGGAG